ACTGAAAACAGCACCAGCTTACAGATCCCCCTCTAGGTTTCCTGGATCAAGAAACGTTCTCATCAAAAATTCAGACCGGTGAATTTCCATAGCTTCTTCCAGGAGAACGGTGGTGGTGGAGGTATAAGGGTGTGATGGTGGTGATAGTTGGTGAAGTTATCAGTTGTGGGTTGATAATGATGACCAAAGAAGATGATGAACACGAGAGGGAGACGAAATATGTGTGCGTATATGAGAGAGAGAGAGAGAGAGAGAGAGAGAGAATATGATTATTTAGTCACTTTATTAATTTATTAAATGAGTTGGCATAAGAAGTAATCAGGCTTTTTTGTCATTTTTCCTTTAAAATAATTACAACGCTTTAACCTCCACAAATTTAACCTCCACATCTAAATTACTCGGTACTTATTTTTAATAACAAAAATAATAATTTATTATAAGCTTTAAAAACACAAAGCACAATAATTGAACTTTTATGGGTCTTTTTTTAGTCATGTAGAAGTTACTTTATACCATTTTTAAATAATCGGTAACTTTTTATTTAAAATGATTCATTTATTATTTTAAACATTTATTATTTTAGACATAATGGCAAATTTTGTTATCAATTCAATGTATTATTTAATTAAAAAAGACACATACCTTAATGCATATAACATTTTATCTAGAAAATATCATTACTTATTTAGTCACTTAATTTATTTAAAGTTATTTCAAGAACGGTTTGTTGTTTTATTCCATCCAGCAAAAACAAATAAAGCTTTTCATTCCAATATAATGAATCATTCCATTCCTTTTGAGATTCTCGTTAAGTCCTACATGGCTACATGTCTAGATAACCATTTTACCTTTATATTAAAAAACCAAATTTCACAATAAGAAAGGTTGGTTTAAAAAAAAGGCAAATAGATAAACTGTTAGGGTGCGTTTTGTTGTGGAAAATTTTTTACTTTTCTAGGAAAATTTTCCAAGAAAAACGGAAATTTTGAAAACGCGTTTGGTTCATTCAGTTTTCCAAAATTTTCCAAGAAAATGAAAATTTTCAGTTTTCCAAATTGTATGTAAATTAGAAAAGTGATTTTTATAGTTTTCCAAAGTTTTCCAAATTTCTAAGATGGAAAATGAAAACTGTTCCGGTTTCAACCAAACGCGTTTTCTAAAATTTTCATTGAAAATTGAAAATAAAAACTCAACTCTATTTCCTGAAAACATTTTCTTAGAAAATGAAAACAGTTTTCCACAACCAAACGCACTCTTAGGCCCCGTTTGATAGACATCTTTCCAGGTTCAAACAGATCTTTCTGGCTGAATGGATAGGAAAGATTGTTTGATATGCACAAAAAAATAGGTTTTTCCGGTAAGATATGTCTTTCCCAGAAAGTTTCAAAACCATATCTTTCTGGCTGAATAGACTGGAAAGACAATTGTGCCCAAAACTCTGCCTCTTTCTTTCTTGCATTATTAATTTCTTTTAAATAATTTTTTTAATTTATTTTTTATTGAATTATTATATATTAATAAATATTATTTTTAATATATAATATTTATGTATTAATTAATATTATTTTATTGGATTATTAATTTCTTTTAAATAATTCTTTTTTTATTTCTTTTTAATGGATTATTATATATTAAAAATTATTATTTATAAATATATAATATTTATATATTAGTAAATATTACTTTATTGGATTATTAATTTCTTTTAATTAATTTTTTAAATTCATTTTTGTTGGAATAGTTTTTTTTTTTTTTTGACAACACTACCATCATCCTAATATATTTTTAAAATTATCCATCCATCCCACCACTATTGGACATAAACCGAGTAAAAAATCACATGTTGAGTTATAAAAAAAAAAAAATTTGCTAGAAAGAATAACGAGGTAACATTAACTTGAAAAAAAACTAAAAACAACTTAATCGACATTCTATTTGGAATTTAAATGATTATTATGTAACTTTGATTTTGTATGACAATTTGTATGTTTTTATAATTATTTAGCAACTTCATCCATCACAGTATAGAACAGCAGGGTAATATTGTCATTTTTCATCATTCAGCACAGTCAATCAGATGTACAATCAAACAATATTGTTTCTTTCCAAGACAGAAAACTTTCTCATACAACACTTTCCCAGACAGAAACTATCAAACGAGACCTTAGTTTCTCACTTTCTTACAAAATCTATTTATGTTTGCAGAGATAAAGTATGGGTCACAACTTTCCATGGTTGTTGGATTCCATCCTCTGCATCGGTGTAGTGCTCCACGGAGTTTGTGATTCTAAACCCAAGTTCAACGGGTTCTTTTAGATTCCCGGAATGAACGGGCATGAAATCAGACAAGGATTCGTATATACCTTGTTGCAGGATTCGGTTGCTATCTTTCAGGTTTGTATTTGGCTCCTTACAAAGCTTTTTATGGCATGGCTTCCTATGGAGTCACCTCAATGTTTTCAAAATTATAGAAAAAAAAAAAAGAAACCGCAGAGGAGGAGAACCATATTATAATAACAGAAAGCACTCTCGTCGGACACTGATAAATCAGGCTTTTTTATTTATGAATCCCATGATTTTGTAGTGCATTGTACAATTTAAATGTAACACGTTAATGAAAGGAAGTTGTGTAATATGGTGTGACTAGACACTCCAACAATTTTGACTTTCATATTTTTTTTTTTGAGAATTTGTTGTGATTTGTTTGATTGTTGTGAAATCTTGTTTCTTTTCATTGTGGAACTATAATAGTATAGTACCATGATATAAACAATAAGAGAAGTTTATAATATATTAGTATGCATTAGAAGTAAATGCTATGTATTAATGTATAGTTAGTTTGTAATCAACTATGTTAAAGAGTGTATTTGAGTATTGAGTGTGGGCAACCGGATGAAACACCAATTTGGTGTCACGTCACATGTCACATAGGCAATGGTGTTATAACACCAAACAAGGAAATGGTTTTCATGTTATAACACCAATATTTTCCATGTCATATTTTTCTTTTTGAATTTTTTTTCGAGTTTGTTTTTTTTCCTTTTTCGTGTTTCTTTTTTTTAAATGATAAAACAAATATATTTTTTTAAAACATAATATTAAAAAAAAAAGACATATTATTTAAAAACTAAAGATTACGATTAAAAAAACATTAATTTTAAAAAATAACATTTTTTCCTAGTCCTAATTAACCCAAATAACATCTAACTTAAACCTAAAACCATAATATTTTATTACTAATCCTAATTAACCCAAATATTCTTTCTAATTTGATCATTCATCGCTTGTAGCACCGCTAGATCTTGAGGCGACAAACCTTCCTCGCTTCTCCCGTGCATGCATTTCTAGAAACTCCAAGTGGCGACGTTTCAACTCATTTTTTTCTTTTTGTAATTATTGTGTTCATCGAATTTCGCTTTCATTTCCGTCGCATCTTTTGCTTTCGCCTCAACCTCATCCACATGTCTTGCAGTGCGCCTCGCTTTGTCGCATCCGGGCGGTCGTTGTGGTGGGGAGATCTCCTCGATATCATCTGGTATCTCATTGGTGTCGGCGTTTAGGTCGATGTGAGTCCATGCGCCTGACACGTCGACCGAGCTCGAATTTCGAGACTTCTTAGATTGAACTTCCGACGATGTAGGAGTTTTATTCCACCGTGGATCCACTCGCAGCAACTCCCACGACTTCTCGAACTCGAACACATGTCTCATTTCGAACCAATATTGTTCTTTTGCAGATTTGAATAAATCAAAGTCGTTTGCTCCGCTCTGCTGTTGCACCTGAAGTCTGGTGTAAATACCATTGAATTTTGTGCACCGCTTAGTTATTTGACTTCATTTGTTGCTTAGCATGTCCGTATTGCGATACGGTTTTTTCTTCAACATAGTGTGGAATTTTTCGAGCACCGCCCACCAATACGCACCTTTCTTCATACCGTTACCGCGAAGTTCGTCTTTTAAAGTAGTACATCATGTTGTCGTCAGAGTATATTCCTCCTCCAGTGTCCACCATTGTGGAACTTCCTCACTTTCCGCTTCAACCGCTATAGCTTTCCCTTTCCCTCTTCCTTTCATTTTCCCTTTCCCTCTCCTACTACCTCCCGTTTGTGTTTCGACCGATGGTTGTGTTGGAGGTGGTGGTTGTGTTGGTTGGTTGTTGCATGGAAGAGAAAGTCGGAAAAGGATTTTGTTGCAAATTTGGGTTTTGGTCAAAAGGATTTTGTTGAAGGTAATGTGAGTTAGGAAATTGCAGTGGTGGTGAAGCGGTATTGAAAGAGGCTCCTTGGTATGGGATTTGTGGTGATCCTTGAGACGATAAAATGTTGAAACAATTTTCATAACCGGCAAATCCGAGAAGCGAGGTTGTGTTTGGTTGTGTGTTTGGGTTTGATTGAGGGGTGTTTGGGTTTTGATTCATTTTTTTGGTTGAGAAGAAAGTATAAATTTTATAAAATATAGAGAGAATGAGAGAAAGGTCTAAAAAAATGGGTTAATATGTTGTATTTATATAAAAGTTAAAGGGTAAAAGGTTTTTTTAATTTATGTTTTGACCGTTGGCATACGGTCCATTGCACAACGGTCTTCGTGTTTCACCCGCTGGTAACGAAGACGAGATGCGCCATAACAAGAAAAAACGAGCAAGGGGGCGGCTTTGAGCTCGTTATGACGCCGTTATGGCTTCGCCACGTCGGCCATAACGAGGACGAAACGTAAACCTGTGTTATATTTTATAATGTATAAAAGGAAATGAGAAACTTTTTATATTTATGCTTCTAGTATACGCATTAAAGAACATGTGAAATTAGATTAGAGCAATATGAAAGTAGCAAATAGCAATATAATTCTATTTATATGTTCGTTGTAATATTTTATTAAATTATTCTATTGTTGAATTTATGTTTGAGAATACAATGTTTATTAATAATTATGAAATAATAAAAATTAAAGTATGTTGTTATTTCTTGTATATAGCTTACATTGTAGGGTTGTTCAAACAGAAGCATGAAGTACAGAGGCACCATTAACGATTTGCATTTGCTCTGTGATAAGATCTTCACCTCCCATCTCTCTAACCATCAACAATGTCGAACAATCACAAAAGTCCGATTGAAATGGGTGAAAAACCGATCCCTAGACAACATAATCGACATCCACACCGATCTCAAAGCCGCCTGTTTACTCAAAGACGCCATCATCCACCGCCCTTCCGCCACCCAATTCCTTACCGCGAAATCCATCGCCGACACCCAAAAACTCCTCGGAATCACCGTACCTACCCTCCGTTTCATCCGCCGCTACCCTACTCTCTTCGAAGAATTCCCACACCCTAAGTACCCTTCCCTCCCCTGTTTCCGCCTCACCAACATTGCCCTAAATTTACACAACATTGAACGCAAAATCTATGAAACTCACGAATCAGACATAGTTGAAAGGCTATGTAGAGTGTTAATGATGACCAGAGATAAACAAATACCTCTTCAATCGCTTCATCCGTTAAGATGGGATTTAGGTTTTCCGTATGATTACGATAAAACCCTAATCCAGAACCACCCTGACAAATTCCGAATTGTGAAGGGATCAAACGGGGTATCAAGCTTGAAACTTGAGAAATGGATCGATGAATTTGCTGTTTCCGAGCTTCAAAAGAGCAACGAGATCAAGGAAGCTAAAGCTAACAACAATGATGGTGATCATGATCATTACAGGAGATTTATGAGAGGGCAAACTTCATTAACATTTCCATTAAGCTTTCCTAGAGGTTATGGTGCACAAAAGAAGGTGAAATCATGGATGGATGAGTTTCAAAAGCTGCCATATATATCTCCATATGAGGATTCAACCAGCATCGATCCAGAAAGTGAGTTAATGGAGAAAAGAATCGTTGGGGTTTTACATGAGTTGTTGAGCTTGACTGTTTACAAGAAAACCAAAAGGAATTACTTGAGGAATTTGACAGATGAATTGAATATGCCATTTAGGTTTACAAGAATCTTTACAAGGTACCCTGGGATTTTCTATCTTTCATTGAAGTGTAAGACTACTTCTGTAGCTCTTAAGGAAGGGTATAAAAGAGGAAAATTGGTGTATGCATGTCCGATTGCAAAGCATAGAGGGAAGTTTCATCATGTTATGAGGATTGGATTGATTTACAGGAAGAAAGGGCTGGAGATGTTATCTGATTTGGATAAATTTGTTGCTGCTGATGATGATGATGATGCGATTGGGACTAATGAAAAAGATTCAGATGATGAAGAGATTGAATCGAGTGGTGAATGGGTTGAAGATGAAGATGAAGATGAAGAGTTGGATGATGTTTCTGATCAAGATTAGCAAAGTCAGTTGATTTTAGAGACATTGAGAGGTAATTTTAGTTTACTTGAGGATGAATTTTGTAATTCCCTGTACTTTATTTCATGATATTATATATATCAAGATGAAGATTTGGAATTTGTGAACCCATGGGATAATTGTACAACAAGTAGGAATACTTGATTTTCTTGAATCTTGAATAGGATCCTTACATGTTTCAAAACTTGGGGTTCCTCCCTTTTATAATACAAGGAAAAGTTTGATGAACTATAACTTTCTTCATGAAAATCCAAACTATAATTCAGGTCATTGTCTTCTTTCGTTTTAAGAGGCGATGATGATGCCATCCTTAATACGTTAAAAAAGGGAACCCCAAATGTATTCAAACATGGAAGATAATGGAGTAATAACTGTGTAGTTCTTAAAATCACATAAATGTATTCTGTTAAGGAGATTAATTAGCAAGATTACGTTGAACATGGATAAACCCTAATTGTATCCTGAGATCATTTCCATGTGGTTTTTGTTTTCTTTTATGGAGACCACGTAAGAAGGTCAACCAAAAAGAAACGGGGTCACACATCAGAACAGTTAAAACAAAATATCGGTGCAATTTCAACATGAATTTATGTTTGTTACTAATTTGTTACCAATATATGGAAAAAGATAAAATTCCTAGCATAATAAGTGAGACATGATAAGTTGATAACAAATCTATTAATTTGCATGTTAGGACACAAACAAACAAAGCTTAATAGCTTGCAAAAATCCATACAATTGCCATTTCTTTTCTCAATTCTACACTTGAAAAAAGAAAATACGCAAACCAAAATTAAATAGGTCTCTTCCCATTCCCATTTTAGTCAGCGAATTTGTTTATAAAAAGAATATTTCAAGCAAAATTTCACAAAAACACAATATAATTCTTTCATCCCCACGAAAAAATTATCAACAAATTCCAATCCACTAATCCCAAGCACTCGGTGCACCACCACCGCCACCATATCCACCACCACCGCCTCCATAACCACCACCATAACCGCCGCCACCACCACCATAACCGCCGCCACCACCACCATAGGAGTTATCCTTCCTAAAATCACGGCCACCAAAGCGTCCACCGGATCGCCTGTTCTTACCCCCACCGTAAGACACACGGCTGGCATACCGGGTAAGCCAAGCTGGCACTTCCTGGTTGGCTTCTTGCATTAAGTCGGCTAATGATTTTGCTATGGACGTATTGTTGTCACTGAAGAAAGCTGTGGCCAATCCCGTCTTGCCAGCTCGCCCTGTTCGTCCTATTCTGTGTACATAGTCATCAATGTCATTAGGAAGGTCAAAGTTGACCACATGTGACACGTCAGGGATATCCAGACCACGTGCCGCCACGTCAGTCGCCACCAAAATCGGTGTTTTTCCACTTTTGAATGATCGCAATGCTTGCTCTCTTTCCTAAAATCCACCACGTTTTTACCATTTGTTAAATACCTAAAATACCCTTCCATCACTTTTAAACGATAGCAATGTTCTTACCGGCTGTGATCTGTCACCATGGATGGTAGTAGCTGGGAAGCCATTACTATAGAGCCAATGTTCGAGTGAATCTGCTCCTTTTTTTGTCTCCACAAAAACTAATGTAAGAGCCTGTTGAAAATAATAAGCATTCATATCTTTGCAAGATTTTATAAAGATAAAAAAAATTACTAGTAGAAGTAGACCTTGGTATTAGAATCATTTTCCTTTTGTGCATGAAGGAGGTCCATAAGATGGCTTCTTTTGTCAACTTCTTGAACAAATTCCACCCTTTGAACAATTAAATCGGTACTTGACCCAACACGACCCACGGTTAAAAATATGTAATTTGAAAGAAAATCAGATGCCAGTCTCTGCAAACCAAAAACAATTTATACATTAAAATAATTTCAAGTTTTAGTAAAGCTAAAACATAACACCATATCAGAGCCTAGTGGATACAACAAGAGTGAATTACAAAAATGGTCCCTGTGCTTTCTGATTTTAACCGTGTTTAGCTCAAAAGTGAAACCTTTTTCATTTTTGGTCCTTATTTCAAGGTTTCAATATTGTATTTTGGTCTCTAAAACCTTGAAAGAGAGACCAAAATCAGAAAGTCCTTGGAACCAAAAAAGAAAAAGGTTTTAATTTTGGACTAAACATGGTAAAATTCAGAAAGCATTAAAGCAAAGGGACCATTTTTGTAATTTACTAATAAAATAGAAATAATTAGTAACAGTATTTGAAATAAATCCAAGCAACAAACCTGGATTTCTCTAGGAAATGTAGCACTGAAGAGCATAGTTTGTCTTTGACCTGGTGGAGGCATGTCAGTTTGCTCCACTATTTTTCTGATTTGAGGCTCAAATCCCATATCCAACATTCTATCTGCCTCATCAAGAGCTAGATAACGTATCATTTGCAATGACACTTTTGCCCTTTCCAGCAAATCAACCAACCTTCCTGGAGTGGCGACAAGTATATCGACTCCTCTCTCGAGCTCTCTTAACTATCCATTAGCAAAATTTCACCAAAAACCAGTAAATGTAATACAAACATGTCAAGATCAATGATAGAAATTAGTCATTACTCATTAGCCAATCATATATCAAGAAAAAGAATTCCACTTTAGTTCCAGTTACCTGTTGATTAATCGGTGCTCCACCATAAACAACCACCACCTTGACACCTGTCTGATAAGAAAACTTCCGAGCCTCCTCATGTATCTGCTCATGTAACACACAATATAAAGAATTAAAGATTAAAGATACCAATTATCTCAAGTACATAATAAGTTATTCATAAATGAGAACCTGACAGGAGAGTTCCCTTGTAGGAGATAAAATCAGGGCAAGGGGGAAAACAGTTCTTGTGCCACGTGGTCTTTGTGCAAATTGTCCTCTCATAATCCCACTGATTATAGGGAAGCAAAATGCTGCAGTTTTCCCGGATCCAGTTTGAGCACATGCCATTAAATCACGTCCAGCAAGAGAAATAGGAATGGTGTAACGTTGGACAGGGGTAGGTTTGACATATTTGCACCTTCTAATGTTAAGATTCAGAGCCTCCCCTAAGTCTATTTCTGCAAATGTGTTAACTGGAGGTGGCACATTTTCACCACTAGTTTCCACAGGAATATCCTCATAAGCATCAAAATTGATACCATTGTTTTCTTGCTCAGATGTGATCTCTTCAGCACTATCTATATCCTCATTACCAAATGGATTAACCTCCATGTCTCTACCACCACCACCACCCCAACTACCACCTCTGTTTCCCCAACCCCCTCCACCACCACCACCACCACGGCCGCCAGTACCATATCCTGGCCTACTGTAATCCTGCCTAGGAGCAGCCCATCGTGATCCGCTTGTTTGTCCGCCATATCCTAACCTATCATTTGCAGGTGGTGCACCACTCTGTGATGTGGCTGAGGGAGCCGCCTGCATCTGTGCAGGCGGCCTGTTACGGAGATGAGGTGGAACATAAGCAGGCTTACCTCCAGCTCCTGGAGCTCCACCAACTCCATTGTTGTCGGAGCCTGAAGCTGTATTGTCAACAGAGTCTGCCCAAGAAGATCTCATGGCTTACAAGTATCAATTCTCAATCTTACCTGCAACTAAATCTCACAAAGAAACAACAATTGCTTCTAGATAGCTGTTAACACCGAGCAAATCACAAAAATGTAGCTTTCAACACAGAGATCAATACCTGACCACACAGAAAAAGAATATTAAAGTCGGAAATTTAACAAGATATCGTGCTATTAGCTCATGTAGTTAGATACCGCATAGATAACAAGCAACTTAAATCATGCAAAAACACACGAGCGTCCGATATTTTATAAGATTAATGCATCGCGATAGTTAAAACGCTACTGCAACAATCGATGCAATCAGATTGAAATATTTTACAGAAGCAAGTAATTCATAAAAAAAACACATGGATTGATATTAGATACGCAAATAACAAAAAGGTCCAGGATTCATGTTTATAATATAAACAGATGCAAGTCATTTCATAAGATTTTAAGAGTACATCCGATCGATAAGAAACAATATACGCATATATAGAACGATGTATAAAGCTTGTTGGAGCAATGAGATCGAGCATCTGAAATGTAGAATAATTTGCTCCGCATGCTTATAAAATAAACAGATTTGGAAGCGGAAGCTATACCGAATATATATGAACGCACCCGACGTTGTGGAGTTGAAGAGGAGAGAGATTGCATCAATGGCGGAGCGACCCAAAGCAGAATTTTAGGAGAAATCAGAAACCCTAAGAAAGAGGCCGGAGCTATATTTCAGATGGAGAATTGGGACAGTGAAGAGAAAATATCGGATTAATGGGTGTGCGATTAGATATTTACTTGGATTTAGTTTTGGGCACATAAATATGTTTTTTTTTCTTTGTGCGTAAAATAAAGTCTAACCTTTTTCTAACCCGAGATGCCAAAAGAAAAAAAAAATGTTCGATTTTTGTGTGGTTATGTCCATTGTTGTAAGGGGAAATGATTTAGGAAAGATAATGAAAAATATATATTTAAAAAATATTATTAATTTTTATTTTTTATATATATTATTATTAAATTTAGTAAGTTGTTTAAAAAACTTCATTATTAGGCCGAGCTGAGTGTGGCGGGAAGGTGGTGCGGAGCTCAGAACCGTAGTCGAAACACAACATTGGCGTTACGGTTTAGGGCGCGCGGGATCGGAGTGAGGGGAGGCTACCCCTAGACCTGGAAAATGTGTCGTGTCGTGTCGTATCAGGTTTGTGTCGTGTCATGTCAAGATATTAAACGAGTTGAGAGGGTTTGACACTAACCTGGCCTGTTTAATTATCGTGGTGTGTCGTGTCAACTCATTTATTTTCATGTCGATTTCGTTTCGGGTTCCGGGTTAAGGTTTAAACCTTGTAAATATGTTTTGTCATGTTGGGTTGAAACATTTTAAAATGTTGGAAAGTAGGATACCGGGGAGAAGAAAATGAATAAGTGAAACACCGGAGTTGGGAGGTGGAAAATTCATACTAAGTTTAGAAAGCAAAAAAAAAAAAAAAAAAGTTATGGTTGGCTGGGGGGTGGGGGGGGGGGATAGGTGGTGAAGATGAGTAAAAATAAATCACTTTGAAAATTTGAATTTTACTTTTAATTATTGAGTTTGACCCACTACAAGTCTATAATATATAATATATTTATAAAAATATGAAATTTATAAAAATGATATATAATTAAACGGGTCATATTCGAGTCATCTTTGAGTTGAAAGTCTTCACCCTAACCCTACTCGTTTAATTATCGAGTCATGTCGTGTCAACCCATTTACATAAAAGGTTTTTCTTCAATTCAAAAATTCATAGTCTCTATATGACATGGAAGCAGATAAATAGGACGAGTATTTGAAGATGTTCAAGTGTACCACACGGGATAGTGCGTACAAGTTCACGAAAGCTATTACTTTGGTTTACGGGGAATAATATTTGCGCAAACCAACCATTAACGATGTCCACCAATTGTACACTATGCATGAAAATAAGCATGGGTTCTCGGGAATGCTACGTAGTATCGATTGCATGCACTGGCCTTTGGCATTGTGCCCCAATGCATGGTATGATCAATACATGTGAGGCGATCATAGAGAGCCAATGATTGGTCTAGAAGCAATCGCATCACATGATCTTTGGATATGGCATGCATTTTTTGGTCCAGCTGGCGCAAACACTGAGATCAATGTTCTAGACCAGTCGTCGGTATTCAACGACATTTACCTTGGAAAGTCGTATACCCTTACACTCATAATCTATTTTGAAGGTTGTCCTTAAACATCATCTTACCCACACACAAAGATGATACCTGATATAATGTTTATTATGAAAGCACACACACCCTGCTTTGAAACGATCAACAACTGCCAATCCTTGATAATAGACAATCGATCCTTACGTTAAGCTAACTAAGGTCTCTAAATCTAATACCCAGCCTGAGTGGCCCACTGCTTCTTCATGAAAATACTCGACACTCTCATAGGGAACTATTTTCCATAGTGAGTTTGTTGTCCATCGTCTCCTTCCGTGTCACAGTTTTGAACATATTAAATTCGGACTTAGGGTTCATTTGTTCTAAAACCGATCCCTTTTCCTATAGAGCTTTGTGTCCGACGATTTCAAGCTTCAAGAAGGTTCAAGTGGCGATTTCTCTTGCTAAAGGTAAGGTAAGATCACCTTAAACCTTTGTATTGGTTGGTTTCTCCATTTTCAAGCTTTTAAAGGTATAATGGTGAAATCTGATTTTAGGGTTTTGATGTTAGATTCTTCAAAGTAATCTTGCTATTAGTGTTTGATTAAGTGTTTAGAAACTTAATCCATGGTTTATATGAAGTTTTAATGGTTGAAATCCATGATTTAATTTTAGGGTTTGAAATCTTACAAATGGAAACAATGAATATGATGATTCTATGGCTTAATCTAGTTAGGATGAGTTTTTGTTAGCTTGATTAGACTGGTTTGACAAACATTTGAGCAGAGAATGGTCAAGTTAGGGTTTTTGTCCAAAATATAAGTTTTTGGCTAAAATCACAAGTGTTGTCTTAATGGATCAAGACATATATGAAAGGCTTAATGTATGTATATGGGCTAGGTGGCAGCAAGGAAAGATTTGAAGTCTTTTAAGTGAAGCTTTGGAAGAGTTGGAAGTAAGTTGCTATTCTTCAACCTAAGGTGAGTTTATACTTCTTTTTAGAGTATGTTTATGTATAGAAGCACATGTGTTACATATGAATGTGATGATGTAGTTAGTGATTACATCATCGTTGTATGTGAATGTTTGGATGTAGTTAACGATTACATCATTGTTAGATCATGATATGTTACATAACTTATGCTATGCATGCAAGAGTTAGATTAAGGGATCCATAGGAAGATTATGCTAGATTATGCATGGAAACAAAGATGATGATGATGATGATGATGATGATCGATTGTTTATCACCTGGTATATGTATAGATGTTTGGTAACTTATGTGACAAGCCAATATTATGTTATATATGTTTATGTTGTTTTTATTATGTATAACTCACCAGACTTATAGTATGACACATATTGTTTCCATGTGTTTAACACGTTCTGGTAGCAAGCGTTAGAATGAGGGCCTAGAAGCATTCAAGGACTATGGACTAGATTATTTTTGTATTCTGCAATTTATCATTGTTTGCTTAGTATGGTTATAGTATGAATATGGTAACACCTGTAACAAAATGTAATGTTTTGTTGGGAATACTTTTTAAAGTTTTTTTTTTTTTTGAAACTCTGGTTTTTGGTATAAGGATGTAACTTTGATATTATTTCCAATGTTTTAAATATTATATGTTTTATGAAAAGTACGAGTGGTTACATGATCAATTATTAAATGATTGCTTAGTAACTTATATAGAAAAAAAATATTTAGTAAAGTAAGTGATGAAGATTTAATTGTAAATTATTTATTTTTTAAAAATTATTAAACACTGCATACCTTAGAATTTTTATCTAGGTCATTGCCTCTCTCACCCCCAAAATTCTCCTCTTCCCTTTGCCCTGACTCCAACCCTAAGCTCTCCCGTTACCCAACCCCGACCCTTCCTCCGAATTCCAAGATCACCCCTGCTCCCGTCCTCATTAACCCCGTTTAGCCCATAATATTTCGTTTAACCTTCTTTACCTTATTTTGACTCGTTTATTTCGTTAACCTTACGTATTATATTATTTATTTATTTAAATACAAAATATATATTATACAATGTTACCTTATTTTGACTCGTTTATTATATGTATTTATTTTGTATTTTTAAGATAAAAGATAAAAATTATTCATGTTTTATTTCTATTATTTGATTGCATTTTTGTTGCAAAATTCCCTACTCAACTTATCATCGTCTTGACTGAAGGAAAGAAAACTCTACTAGAAACACACAAGATCGGAACCATAATTTGGGAAAGCATCACTACCACATTAGTTGAGTCGCTGGGGTTTTGGATGATCGGTTTTAATAATTCAATCAGTTTGCCACATTTTATAGTTTCTTAATGGGAGCGAGTAGAAAGCTTCAAGGCGAGATCGATCGGGTTTTGAAGAAAGTCCAGGAAGGAGTCGATATTTTCGACAGTATTTGGAACAAGGCAATTTCATTTAGTTATCTTCAACTTCTTGATTTTTTTTTTTCGTTTAATGCATATATTGATAGTTGATGTGTAACAGTCAGTTGTCGAAATTTTCGTTGTTTAGGTTTACGATACTGACAATGCCAATCAGAAGGAGAAATTTGAAGCCGATTTGAAGAAGGAGATCAAGAAACTTCAGAGGCACAGAGACCAGATTAAGACATGGATACAGTTCACCGAGATCAAGGATAAAAAGGTTAGTTTAATCGCTCTGTACAGTTGCTGCTTGCTTACCGAGTTACTGAAGTATCGAATACTGTTTTCCTAGTAGTTGTGTGCTGTTCGCTATTAGGTTTATCTCAATCCACAGAAAATATATTACAACAAAATTCTCTTTCATGCATGCTGACATCGGTTAGTGCCTCTTATGAGCAGGCTCTAATGGATGCTCGGAAGCTTATTGAAAAAGAAATGGAACGGTTTAAGATATGTGAAAAGGAAACAAAGACAAAAGCATTCTCCAAGGAAGGCCTTGGACAGCAGCCTAAAACAGTATGTATTACTATATTTCCACCATTGTTACTGTATGAATCTGAAATTGGACATTTGTGTACATCTTTTTTTACTGCATTAATCTGTTAATTCTCTGTTGTAGGATCCAAAGGAGAAAGCAAAGTCAGAGACTAGAGATTGGTTGAACAATACAGTATGGAACTATAGTACTATACTTTCATTTTGAAGTCTGATTTTGAATCACAAATTGGACATTGTATATAAATAATTAAATATACATTTTCTTGAATTAGGTGTCTGAGCTTGAATCTCAAATTGATAGTTTTGAAGCTGAGATGGAGGGGTTAGCTGTTAAAAAAGGGAAAGCAAGACCACCAAGATTGGTAATATAGCATATGAAGGGTACAACTTCTAATGAATAATGTTCATTGTTAAAATTTCATAACTTAATAAGCAATTTGTTTCACAGACTCATTTAGAGTCATCAATCAATCGACACAAAGCTCATATAATGAAGTTAGAGTTGATTTTAAGATTGCTGGATAATGATGAGTTGAGCCCTGAACAAGTCAATGATGTTAAAGATTTCTTGGATGATTATGTGGAACGAAATCAGGTTTTTTATTTTCTTTCACTTCAAGATTTTTTTTTTCAAAATGGATTCTGTTATTTAACTGAATCATTTCTCCTACAGGAAGCTTTTGATGACTTTGATGATGTGGACATGTTATACAACACCTTACCTTTGGACAAGGTAGAGTCACTTGAAGATCTAGTCACCATTGGTCCACCTGGCATTGTTAAGGGTGTTGGTGCTACAGCTGCTGTTTCAAGCATAAAATCAACCTT